GCCAAATATTTCAACATACTAGAGCCTTTCTCACTTTTGTTGTAATAAGTTATGTACTACTTCACAAATGTTTGTCTTTTGTTAAGTTAATAGCAGATTTCACTCCTCCAATTATGGGGATTAATTCACACATGAATATTGCAGCCTATATCAAGGATTTGCTTCCTATAATCTTGTATTGTGTTTTGATTAATTCCATGTACAAATATTCTAGAATAGTCTTCTTATACTATATATACTCGCACCCGTCAATATATTCATATCAATAAAATATTTAAGACTAGAAAGTCTTCTTCCTTTCATGGTATCAGAGGCCTTGTGCATCTCTCACCTTATTCCTTGCTTCTATAAACTTGTTCTGCATCTTCTTTTTCATAAAGGTGGAAATTGATTGCTTCAAGAATATTTTTGTTGCTTTGTAGTTGCAAAAAGTAGCCTATTACTTTTGTTTATTTTTCTACCGTTTGATTGCCTCAAAATCATGGTTGTGGTCAATGGGCAAATGTTAGATCTGTTGTGCACAAGGATATAGCGTATTCAAATATCATTTTCGATTTGATCAAGCTTATACTTCTAGACCCGTACAACAGTCCTTTGCAGCCATGAATATTAATAATTCAAGCTATTCCCTAGTTGCTTAATCCCCCATTGTTCCATTTCCATATGATTCATTTTGGTACCCAGTTACTAGTTCAACTAGTCATATGACAAGAGACATGTCTATTCTTCAATAGTCAACAAACTACTCTGATTCAGATACAATTATGGTTAAAAATGGTGCGGGTCTTCCTATTTCTCATATCGGTAATATCTATTTTCACAATTTTGATTCAAAATTTCACCTTTGAGATGTGCTGTGTGCTTGCTATTAAGAAGAATCTATTATCTGTGGCACAATTCACTAAGGACAATAATTGTTCATTTCACTTTTTTCCCATGGTATTATTGTGTCAAGGATTTGGCAATGGGGAAATTTTTTCTCACAAGACCAGTCGGGGATAATCTTTATCCACTTCATCTCTCATCCCGAAGTCTCCAACAGAAATATTGTCTTGTTGCCACAAGATTAGCTTTCATTCGTGCAAAGGCTACCTTTGAGGTGTGGCATAATTGCTTAGTGCATGCAAGATTTATGACTTTTGCTTCTCTTTCTTTGAATAAATGTTTAGATGTTTCTGGTACATTGAATAAAAGTTTTGTTTGTCCTGCCTGTCAATTGGGAAAGAGTAAGCAATTACTTTTTTGATTTATCTACTCTTTATTCTCCACACCCATTTATCTGATTCATTGTGATATTTTGAGGTCAGTACCAGTTTCTTCTAATTTAGGTTACCTCTATTTTATATCATATTTATTGATGATTTTAGTCGATATGTGTGGCTTTATCCTATGAAAGCTAAAAGTGACAGTCCAAATTGCTTTCTTCATTTTAATAGGATTATGGAAATTTAATATCAGCCAAGACCAAATATTTTCAATGTGATGGTGCTTTTGAGTTAACCAAGAGAGTGTTCAAAACTATACCTGATGAATGTATTATTATTCCACGGAATTCATGTCCTCACACTCAATTGTAGAATGGGGTTTCTGAGTGTAAACATCGCAATATTAGTGAGATTAGCTTATCTTTGATGTTTCACAATTCAATTCCCAAGCGATTTTGGTTAGAAGCTTTCAACATTGCAGATTTCTTTATCAACTGTTTACCAATGTCAGTTTTGAATTGTCGCTGCCCTCATGAAGTTTTATTTCATGCAAGGTTGGATTATAGCATACTTCGCACTTTTAAATGTGGTTGTTATCCCTATTTGGGGTCTTACATGGCAGATTAGTGAAGCCCAAATTCTTGGGGTATAGCGATCATCAAAAGGGATATCGATGTTTAGATATAGTCATTGGTTGAGTTTATATTTTTCGTTATGTTGTCTGTGATGAGTTTAATTTTTCTTTTGTAGACTCAACTCCTACTCTACCAACATTGGATTTTCGACAACAGTGGGCTTTATTGCCAATTCCCTTTTAATTGACTCTGCCTATTTCTAGCAGGACGACTCCAACCATCCCTTCATCAATCCTAATAGATTCCACACCACCTAGATCTTCGGAAGCCTCGTCTGCCGACGTATCCCCCGCCTCTCTTCTACCTAATTTGGCTAAGAATCAATCTGTTCCCGTTGATGCCTCTGTGGTACTTGTGATGGCTCCTACACCACCAACTCCATTTATTTCCACTCACCTGATGGTTACACGATTAGGATGAAATTGTTAAAACCAAACAAAGGTCTTTCATGACAACCAAGTATTCCAGCTACCTTGCTTGCATCAGTGACATCCTCTGATTGGATAGAACCTTCAACCTATTAGAAGGCCTCTACAGATCCAAAATGGTGTGTTGCCATGCAAGATGAATTTAATTCCCTTCTTGCCAATACCATTTGGTCTCTTGTCCTTCATCATGGCAATATAAATATAGTTCGGGTGGAGCATTACAAAGCATGCCTAGTTGGCAAAGGTTATAATCAATACGAAGGCATAGACTTCATCGAATCCATTAGTAAATGGTGAAGCCATTTACTGTTTGCACGGTTCTCTCTTTAGCTCCTTCTCGTGATTGGTCTATCCGTCAATTGGATGTGACGAATACAACTGCCTGGCTTCCATGACCCTTCTCATCCTACACATGTCTGTCGTCTTTATAAGGCTATTTATGGTCTTAAGCAAGCTCTACGTGCTTGGTTTCAACGCTTTAGGGGATTTCTTTGTAAATTTGGTTTTTTTTGCAGTTGAGCACATTCCTCCATGTTTGTACTTCAATCGTCGGTTGGCACTATGGTTCTTCTTCTTTATGTGGATGATATCATCTTAATTGGCAATTGTCCCTCACTTATTCGATCCTTTATTGATATGCTCAGTACTCAGTTTGCCGTGAAACATCTTGGAGGGTTCTTCATTATTTATTAGGTATTAGCAAAATGCACTGAACAGGGATTCGTCTTTTGCAATCCAAGTATGCTCTTACTTGCTATCACGTGCCGGTATGCTTGAAGTGAAATCGTGTCTTACACATGCCATACCTAATTCAAAGCTCAGTGATCCAGACCCATCCTTTTATTGCCAAATTATGGGAGCTCTTCAATATCTTACCACGAATCGCTGTGATTACCTATGCTATCAATCAAGCATGTCAATTTATGCATTCTCCGACCACGACTCATCTTGCTGCTGTCTAATGGATTCTTTGCTATATTAAAGGTACAATTGATTTTGGCCTTCATCTTCAGTTTGGTCCTCTCTTACAATCAATGCTTTTTCTGATACTGATTGGGCTGGATGTCTCGACTTTCACCGCTCTACTACTGGGTTTTGCATCTTCCTTGGCTCTAATCTTATTTCCTGGACTTGCAAAACACAACCTACAGTAGCCCGATCTAGTGCTGAAGCAGAGTACCGTGGCCTTGCTTGTGCAATTGCTGAAGTTATTTGGCTTCGCTATCTCCTTTGAGAACTTTATGGCTACACTTCGAGACCTTGTTCTCTTCATTGTGATAATGTGAGTGCAACTTACATGGCTGCTAATCTGGTGTTCCACCATGCTCAAACAAAACATATTGAAATTGACTATCATTTTGTTTGTGAACTGGTAGCAAAAGGAACCCTTTGTGTGAAATTTATTCAGATCATCAAACAGCTGATATCTTCACAAAGGGTCTCACATTTATCGAGTTCTTAATCTTCAAGATAGACTGATGTTGCATTACCTCCTCATCAGTTTGTGGGGGAGTCTTAAGTGAATAGTAGATCTCACTCCTCCAATCAGGGGGATTAATTCACACGGGCATATTGCAGCCTATATCAAGGATTTGATTCCTATAATTTTATATTGTGTTTTAATTCTTTCCATGTACAAATATTCTAGAATAATCTTCTTCTTATACTATATATACTTGTACCCATCAATATATTCATATCAATAAAATATTTAAGACTAGAAACTCTTCTTCCTTTCATCTTCCCTTTTTCTCTTCTCTTGCCCAGGTTTCTGTTGGCCCGGTCATAATGAGCGGTCTGTTATGGCCGCACCCTGACTTAGGGCTATCTCTTTCTTTTCATATCTTCCATGTGAACACACAATTTCCTTTCATTCATCGTCTCTGTTTTCAACATTGACCAAAGAAATGATGGTGCTTAGCTACCCTTATTCTCCGGAAGAAAAGCTGTTGAATTTTTTTCAGTCCAGCACAGACAAAAATTGCGAGTGAACAACTGCATTGGCGGGTGATCTTTCAACCCATATGGGCTGGATTCACACCAACATCATTTTAGGTTTAGAACACAAAATTTGGCAAGGATCATAGCTGCTGACATATGTCACATCACTCATGTTTGCGTCCCTGAATCCCTTTCTGATTAATGAGTGTTTGTTGTTTGTTTCGGAAATTCTGAATGCTGAAATGTCCATAAATTGGTGAATGCAACTACTGTTTACACAATGTTGCATTAATTGTAAGTGTAGAACCTCTTTTATGTTTGTGCTACACTTTGATTGTCCTTAATGTTGTTGTCTGTTTTGAAATATTCTGAATTACAACAGGACATGCCATCCAACCACATCATAGTAAATTTCTGTGTGAAAGATGGCAGGGAAAAAATTGAGCTATATAAACCAGTTTTCTTAGATACTAGTTCTAGATTATCTATGTTTTGGGGCCTTGAACCTTATTGTAAATTTTGATCCAGATCTGATTTAAGGCTGCAAGTCTCTTTTCGTTAGTACAAAACATATGGTTGTGTTATTCTGATTGTCGAAACGCTGGAAAATTGGTAGCTGTTCTTTTTAAGGCTACTTGTGACCTAGAAGTTCAGAATTCTGTTTAATAAGAAAATCTGCATTATGATTATGGGATATATTGCAATTGCATTTTGGCAACCCATCATATACTCTCAGTGATTCAGAATGTGGTGAATACCTCATCTGATCGTGAAACACCCATTACAATCTAATGACAGTGTTGATCTTTAGACCTAGGTTAGTCATTATTATATTTACCATAAACCTTCTCTGAGAATTTATCGGATTGAAGAATACTATAGCTGATGAAAATAAGTCTGTTCTCATCTAGAATTGATGGTTATTAATTGATAATCTTTTGAAATTTTTGAACAATTACACAGTCACAGCCATTGCTTACTGATTTAGAAAAGCTGTAATTATTTGGGTTTCTCTTCTTCCCCTGAAATCAGGGAAAGTTGGTTGAAGTCTGAGAATGCAGGTTTGGTTATGAACACAACTATTCTACAGATAACTCCATAGCTTATGAGTATACCCATTGCAACTGTCTGCATTGCAGCACAAATACTGCTTAATGTCCTTTCAATCTTGTTTTAATCCATTATTGTTATATATCTAGACATTACAGAAAATTACTACTAGTAATACTCCATCATAAGCTGTTCTGAATGAAATCAGCATGCTGTGGCAGGAGATCAAATAAGATGCCAGCTTTTTGTTGGATCCAAAATCCAAATTGCTAGAGTACTTTTGTGGAGTTTAGAATGCAGTTTTTTTTTTATCATGTTAAGTTTCACACACTGATACGGTGTCTACTTACATAGTAGTTCACTCTTAAATGTGTTGCACTCTTTAACTATGTACTTCTTTGGAATATACAGATTGATACTAAATGTTTTTCTAAATCAGTAAGCAATGGCCGTGGCTGATATATGATAAACAATAATCCATTGTTGATTGTACTCTGCTGGCCCATGGCAAGGATAATGAGGACAATGATGGTTGATGTTTAGTGATATTCTGCACTCTATTCTTAGTTGTGTGTGTGTGTGTGTGTTTGTGCCTTATGTAGATTTGCTCCTTGCAAAAATGTTAAATGGAATACATTTTTGAGCAGAAGATCTGAAAAGCAGTTGTGGACAGAATCATTCTTAAGAATCTTTTGCCTATATCGTACATTCTTAATATCCGGATTGATTGATTTTGCTTGTATGTAACTATATGTCCTTGTGAAAATCAGGTATGCGTGTAATGGACATACTCTCATTAGTTATGTATGTTTATACCCTATTCTTTCAGATGAGGTAGGTGGTTCTTCGGAGGAGGATCTAAGCTGTGGAGAGGTGGAAGCAACTGAGAGTCAAGAATCTTCCGGAGCCTGTCCAGGTGACCGGGAGCTGAAAGAAATGCTACTGCACAAGTACAGTGGCTATCTTAGCAGTTTGAGAAAGGAATTCTTGAAGAAAAAGAAGAAAGGTAAGCTACCAAAGGATGCAAGGCTGGTGTTGTTGGACTGGTGGAGCGAGCACTATAGGTGGCCATATCCCACGGTAATTTCAATGCAAATAATTTATATCTATATCTATATCTATTTACACTACTTATGAAAGTGTCCTGAAAAACTTTTGTTTTCCTATTTTGTCCTTGTAGGTCAATTTTATCCTTGGTTCAATAATTTATCCTCCAGATAATAGTTGTTAACAGATTTTTAACTCTTAGATGGTATCAATTTAAGGGCAATGAATGTATAATTTATCCATAGAAAGTTGAACCATCTCATCTTCCATGTGTTCCTTTCTTTCAATGAGAGTTAGCACAAAAAATATTCAATGTGCAATGAATATAAACTATAAATGCGAAGTTGAACCATTGGATGCCTTTACCATGATAGTTCATAGGGATGATGATTTTAGCTATATATTGGGGCAGGAATGTTGGATTCAACACTATGCTTCTGAGGGATGATATGACATTGGGATGTCAATGAGTCAGACATGCATATTGTTTTTTATTTTATGCTTGAGTTCCCTTAAAATTATTTTTAAATGTTTCTTAAAAAATTCAATGGATATTTTAAACTTCGGGACATGTTGAAACTAAATCTCTTAAATTCACTAAGATTTCTATGCGCTTTCTGAAGTGTACTTGGAGACTCAATGATCTTTAGTGTGCCTTTGCTTTGATGGCATACTCTAAATGTTGGCACAGTTGACTTGATTTCATATGCCACTGAAATACTATATGTTTAGCATAGAGAATATTGGTACAATAAGGACAGTCCACCAAAAAAAAAAAAAAAAGATTAATACACTTGACGATTTCTTGAATTATCTAATCCTAAAACATCAATTGTACTCTTCTTCTGGTTTTAGTATTTTGGGAACTCTTGATCTTGGTTTTTGGCTATCAACTATCTTTTGTTTTTGGTTAAACAATAGAGAATGTAAGTGGACTCCTAAATAACCTGCCTAGCACTATCATAAGTAATGACAAAAGAGTTGAGAAATTTGTCCGCAAACACAAATGGTTGATAATATTTCATAATCTTTACCAAAGAATATTAAAATTTATTACCCAAAATTTTCACGTACAATGGACGTGTACACCAACTAATTAAAGAAATTGCAATATATGTGGTCCAATACATGTCGGAAATTTGGAATGGTGCTTTGATTGGTCTAGTAGCTGAATAGAAAAGGAGGAAAACACCAAACATGAAAAACATAATGTAGCATCCTTGCAATTTTTTTAGGTGGTTTAGGTACAGTAAGCCTACATGCAAAGATAAGCCAGAACTTTAAAAGAGGCTGCACTTAAGTGAGGACCAATTGTTTCGGCTAGTAAATGATAAAAAAAGCAATAGATATCTGATTTTCTGACTCAGATTACCATAAATGAATATTTTCTGGAATGTGCAAAAATAAGAAAAGAGTTTTTACTCTTGAACTAGTCCCCATAAGGCAATTTTTCTTCTTCCTGTTTTCTTGTTAGTATCAAAAAACTATTTAATAAAATAAACTAGAACTCAAAATCTATTTTACATCCTTTTCAACTTAGGAAGTTGTAGGTTTGGACTGCAGAAACCATAAAAAAGTTCCAACAAATATTTTTGTAAGCATTCTGTTCTGCTTCCAATTTATTAGTGGCATATGCATAGATATGTGGTACTGATTAATTAGCACATATTTTGAACTCGGGTACATAACGCAAGCATGTGCTTCACTCTGGCCAGGAAATGCATCTGTTAAACTGCCATTTAAACAATTAATAATTTGCAGTGGCTATGATTTCTATTTCTGAATGTTTTGGTTATATTTTGTTCAGAAAAAATTAATAAAATGTGGAAGAATGTGAATTATAAGTTTTAAAGTGGACTGAAACTCTTTTTTATTATTTTAAATTATCTTTCTCTGTGGATCAGTTCCTGATCAATTACTATTGAAATAATGTGAGAAATATTTGGATTTGTCGCCTTGTTGCCTTCTCCAATCAAAAGATGTTTCACATGCAAATTTGTTTAGTGCATGTAGCAATACTCCAATTGGGGAATAGAAATGCTTTATTTCTGTTATTTCATTAGCCCAGAACAATGCCAAAATCTACTACAGCCCATATAAAAGTCCAATTAGAGATTTGAGTGTTTCAGTTTTACAGTTGGCTCTTGACAGACCCCTAAATAGGCTTGCTTTAATGCTTTATGTCAGTCTTAAATTCATCTAGCTTACGGTACTAAAGAAAATGGATTATGATGCAGGAAGAGGAAAAAACAAGACTATCAGAGATTACTGGATTAGACCAGAAGCAAATCAACAACTGGTTCATAAATCAAAGGAAGCGACATTGGAAACCATCAGAAGACATGAGATTTGCCCTCATGGAAGGTATCGGTGGAGGCATTGAGGGACCTATGTACTTTGACACTTCAGGGGGAACTGGAAGTATCGATGTCTAAAATGACAATGGGGGATGTCCCGAGTAGGTATTGTATCTTCTGCGCTCTTACATTTTGTAGAATCTGCTGGTATATAAAGATTTCTGTCAAAATGAGATTCTGTTGACACACAAGCTGTGGAAAAACAGCCTGCTTGGCAAGGTAGTGTTGCTTTTTTTTTTATATATGAATTTTCTTTGACAAACTTTGTTGAACTTCAGGGACTATTGCATTCCCTTTAACATGATTGAGGTTTTGGTTCCTCTATATAACAATATTCCGGCTACCACAATCCATTAAATATCAGAGAAACTTGCATTTTATATTTTTAACTTAGTTAAATAACCTCCAATTGCTGAAGTAGTAGTTAGATAATTTTGTGATATATGTAACTCTTTATCATTTCATCTTTGTCATATCTCTGGGTTTTAGGGTTGAATTATCATTAGGACTGCCCAACCAGCGGAGATTTGATGTTGCCTTTAAGAATGTTGTGAAAAGAAGAGGGTGGTGATGATTGGAGACTTGAAGACTCCAGTGATCTTACTGTCATCTTATGAGATTATCACTCCCTCCACCTCTCGAACGGAAACTGTATCCCCTTGAACCTTGAACTCACATCCTATTCCCAGTTCTTTCTGAAACATATTTTGATGGATCTGATGAGATGCTGAACACTTTTTTCCACTTATCGTTCGTGGACACATTTTTTCCTTCCGGGCAGGCAAATTTACTTGTGAAGAAATATGGGGCTCGTGCATTTGGGGGATGAAGGGCAACAATTGAAGAAAACAAAAGAGTTTATCTATTATATTTCCTCAATGATCTGCTTGCTTTGTTTGAACGGGAAATGTAGTAGTAACTAGTCGATAAGGAAAGCTACAGAAAAGTATTTAAGAAATCCTTCTTGGGCAGAAACCGCTTTTTGAAAAGGGTTAATTTTATTTTACACTCTGAAAGATAGTTCGAATCTTAATTTGTACCTTCAAAGAGCAAAAATTTAATTTACACCCTCAAAGATAGAAATTTGTATCAATGTGCACTCCCAAAGATCAAAAATCTCAATTTGCACCCTCAAAGATAGAAATTTGTATCAATGTGCATCTCCAAAGATAAAAAATATCAATTTGCACCCTCAAAGATAGAAATTTATATCAATGTGCACCCTAAAGATAAAAAATCTCAATTTGTACTATCAAATATAGAAATTTGTATTATTATGCACCTAAAATTAAATTGATAAATTATATCTAGATACTCTCATGTTTGTCACTTAATCATTTGGACCTATTTACATTTAGAATATTACTCTTACATCTCATGACATTTATGCACGTACAACATGTAATATATTTTCATTGATATCTGTTAATATAACCGTTAAAAAATATAATTTTATCCTAATAAAAAATTATAATTTCATATTACCCTTATTTTATGGGTCCAATATACTCTAAAGTTCAAAATCAAACTTACCATTTGAATGTCTAATAAAATGTTGATATTTATATAATGTTTTTCATATTTTTTTTTTATAAATATCTACATTCTATTAGATATTCAAATGGTAAACTTGATTTTGAACTTTAGAGTATATCGAATCCACAAAATAAAGGGTAATATGAAATCAAAATTTTTTATTAGGATAAAATCATATTTTCTAACGATTATATTAATAGATATCAACGAAAAGTGGTTATGTTTACACATGTACAAACGTCATGAGATGTAGGGGTAATATTCTAAATGTGAAGGGGTTCAAATGATTAAGTGACAAACATGAGGAGATCTAGGTATAATTTATCAATTTAGTTTTAGGTGCACATTAATACAGATTTTCTATCTTTGAGGGTGTAAATTGAGATTTTTTATCTTTAGGGGTGTATATTGATACAAATTTCTATCTTTGAGGGTGCAAATTGAGATTTTTGATCTTTGGGGGTGTACATTGATACAATTTTCTATCTTTGAGGGTGCAAATTAAAATTTTTAATCTTTGGGGGTATAAATTGAGATTCGAACGATCTTTCGGGGTATAAAATAAGATTAACCCTTTTGAAAATCCAAAAGATAACACTATGGGTTTTCCTGTCACTGGGCACAGTTCTTTAGTGGAAGCAGAACTGCCTTCAACTGTTACCTTGTGTCTTGGTTGCTTTACATATACTTGTGTGTTAGAAAGGTGCACGGTTTGCAGATGTTAGGATGTCATAAAATAATGGATCGATGTGTTCCAAGTCTTCCAGGAGTTTCTTTTAGAAGTTGACAAAGGTATTGTATTTCATATCTTTAAGAGCAGTTCACTAAGGTGCTTCCTCATATGGATGTTGTACATCACATGAAGTGACGAACTATTTTCCTTGATTTTCTTATATCTTTAATCTTTTTGAATTGATTCTAAATTGACTATACGGAGTCCTAGTTTAACCCGGTTGGATCGTAAGTTCAATTTTGACACAACTGGCTCTAATTGAAAATCTTTTGATGCTTTCCAGCATCTTAATTACTTTGGGGTTGTTAGTAGTAAGTGCTATATCTGGGTTCTTATTTGATCGAAAAATCTAGGGCTATAGTAGAAGAGTAATGTTGGACGGACTTAAAATATAGACTTAAAATGCAGACTTGATGATGTGGCTGCTAATGTGTACTAGACATGTCATCAATTTAAAAAAAAATAGATTTTAATTTTAAAATAAAAGATCAGATTTTACTTTCTCACTCCACCATTCCACCTTCCTGCTTCCCGCTTCCCTCCCTGTAACCCTCTCCTTCCCTACCCCAAAACTTGTCCACAGAACACAGAGTGTCGCCAGAATTTTTCCCTTTTAACTGTGGCAGTCTGGACTTTTACGGAGAATATTTCCCTTTCATTTTTCTTTTGCTTTCTTGGATTTCATTTGCATGCGTGTGGTACTGCTCAACAGCCCAAATCTATGTCACAATAGATATTTTTTTTTGCCATTCGATCGTTTCTCTGAAAGACTATCATAGATTCTAAAGTATGAAAATGTATTGATGAGGAATAGCTCATAAATATCTCATCTTTAGTACCTCTAAGCTTTTCTAATACCTTTTTTTTTTTTTTTTGCTCTGCGGGTTCACGTATTGCCACAAGGGATCCTAGGCCGTTCAACTTTTGGACTGTCCATGTGGTTGCTCAAGTGGTTACCCATTTGGCTAGTGGAATGGTTTTTGCTCTTAATGTCTCGTCTCATGCTTGGTTCCCTTTTCTGTTTAAAAAAAAAGTAAACACAAAATTATAAATGAGTTTAAAGGGTGAAATTCCGGTGGTACTCTGTGTTCTGTGAGTAAGTTTTGGGGTAGGGAAGAAGAGGGTTACAGGAAGGGAAGAAGGAAGAGGGAAGCGGGAAGCAGGAAGATGGAAGGGTGGAGTGAGAAAGTTAAATCTGATCTTTCATTTTAAAATTAAAATCTGTTTTTTTTTTTTTTTGAAATTAATGACATGGCTGGTACACATCAGCAACCACATTATCAAGTCTGTATTTTAAGTCTATGTTTTAAGTATGTCTAGCATTATTCATAGTAGAAACATATTTTTAAATCGCTAGTTATATGTTTTGGCTTTTATAATTGTTGACGTGGTCTGGCGGACCAACCACAAGCAGGCACGTTGACGGACAGAGACACGTGAGACATATGTTGAAGGGTCTTGACACAGAGCGCAAGTCAAATTGTTTGATGAAATTAATGCTCAGGGTTGAGTATCGATGGCACACGACAGTTGGGCTCAATGACGCGACTGAAACGGCATGGGGATGTGGGTTTATCAAGGAATGGTGGCTACATGTCCATGTGAAACGACATACATGTTGGGAAACGTGTAAAGGTACCAATCTTGGATAAAAGGATCAATCATATGATACCTTGACGCGGGTGTCTATTTAATGGTCGAGCTCAACGAGACAACCAAAAAGGATCAACCATTCATCTTCCAACGGCAAAGGCGAGGAGCTAATGCTCGGCGCCGAGCATTGATGGACAGTAATAGCTCGGCCTACATTTCCCAAGAAATTGTAAATACGCAGTTCAAGGCACAATAATTAAGTAGCTCGAGGGTGCTTGACCCATTGTCAATTGGGGCTAGCTCTTTGCCGCCTCCATGTGTGAACCAACGAGGGAAGATTTCTTCTAACACACTGTTAGGACAAGCAGCTTGTCTAGCGGCCTCGTTCAAAGCATAAGTCACATGTCATTGGGTATAATTACCTCTCTTGACCTAAGGCCACATGTATGCATTTTGGCCTCACTAGAAATTATATTTCCCTCCCATCATTCACACAACTCACTTGACCGTTGAAGGGAAAATTTCGGACACACATCTAGCACTCTTTTTTACCTTTTTTGCTCATTGGTTTCATTCTCCAACCTTATTCCAAGCGTTCTCACCTTCGGTGCTGCTAAATCTATCTATTATCGGAATTCGCCTGCATAATTTTGGATTCGTCTGTGGGGAACGAGAGCTAAGTTTCTTTGTAGCAGCATCATGGTGAATAAATGTAGCACATGTTCTCAGAACCACGTGGAGCATGTCCCACAAGCCTTGGGCAAAAAGGTGAATCCGTTACCACTCCTCCTAAGTCAGGAGACATGTCAAGAGGAGCACAGAGAAAGTTGTAAGAGCATTCTGACCATACCGAGCTGAGTCTAGAGGGACCAGGGAAAAGGGCTCCTTGCCTATGAGCTGGTAGATCTCCTTGAGGAGAGATTTAGCAGTTGATTGGATTCAATAGAAAGCGACAACGTCAACTTGCTTAATTGAATAAACGTCTTCGAGCGGTCGAGCAACTTGTTCAAAGGACTGAACCGTCATGAATAAGGAAAAAACAATTGTGACAACTTGTCTCGGGATGATCTACGGTTACGTCTGGAGAGGAAAGTGGAGGTTTCTCATGCCTCCAAAAGGGAACAGTCCATAGGCAACCTTAAGAGAAAGGCAAAGAGAGCCAAACCTTTGGTGAAGGGAGACCTTCGTCATCAGCTTTCGAACAATCGTGAGGGGGAGGATTCCAAGCAGAGGTCCAGCCTCTTAGTCAGAGATGTGAGAATTTGGAAGGATCCTAAGCTAGAGTGACGGGCATAGACCCTGAGGACCAGCAACAAAGGGATCTTTGCTCCCATCTTGATCTCTTGAAGGGG